TCCCGTATTCGCTGCCTCGCCTCTTCCGCCTAACTTGTTTGTTTTCACCTTGGAGCTTGTGTGACATTAAACATAAGTCATCTTCGTAGGAATCCAAATCGTGTAGGTTTTTTTATCGGTCAAATAGTGCATACCCCTCTTCTTGCTCCTCACAGATGTTTGTTGCTTGATCAAGCCCAACCCAATCCACCACAATCAGGAAGATTACTGAAGAATAAAAAGTGACTGTGGATGTCCAGTGGCTCAAGAATCCAACACGTTACTCGTTAAACGGAACAGACAGTAGATGCTTGATCTGGCATTAAGTCATCAGCAGAATTTTGTCATGCTTTCAAGTTTGAAATGCAATCTAACTGAATAACCTTACATTTCGTAAATTTGAAATTCTCCTGGCATTTTACGTCAGTATACCTGTTTACAACTCATGTAAGCAACTTCAATGAAATGGCATAAAACCTGAAGTTATCTATGAATAATATTGCTGATAATGTAATGAAGCACTGTCTCATTTCGATAGGAAACATGCCTGAAAAGTATATACGTTGTTAAGTTTTAAAGATGTTCCTTTGGATATTTTAGATCTCAAATCTCATCATTCAGAAAATCGTTCGAACTGTCATAAGAATTCATCCAATCAGAAATGCTATGTGAAATATTTCAAAATTTTCGTTGGTTCATATTTCTATGTGTAATTCACATATGAAGCATAGAGGAATATAGTATATAATGAAACAAAATTTTCATAATGAATATCGAATAACCTGACTCTCCACTAATACAAAAACATGCCAGGTTAGTTTGTTGATATATTCTGATAATACATCCACCCATGTGATATTTCATTTAGTTTTGAAAAACATATACGTTATGTCTTGTCTAAATTCTTGTTGTCTCCTATGTTTTAGCCTGTGGTGGTACCGACTGTAAATGCTGCAGTGGTTGCAAGTCCGGTAGCGGTTGTAATTGTCCAAAAGGTTCCTGTCAATGTGTTAGTTGTGGCTGTGGTTGTTCATGCTGCAATGAATGCAAATGAATAGAACAGGAAATCAGTTCAAATTGTTTCAGTAGAAAAATTCATGTTCCACTTATTAACCTAATCATTTCAATAAAAAATTAAATAATATATTGTTGTTTTATTTTGATGCGTAGTATCAGTAGTGTAACATAGATTCAGTGTGTGTTCAAGTGTGTTTCACTTTCGGACTGTAACTTGTTAGATTATTTTGCGATACTTCCTTCTCGAGATAAACGCCTTTTGTTAAAGGAAGGAATTTCTTCTGTGTGAAAACTGACTTGATGAAGAAAAGTATAACAATTTGAACCACATATTTTATAAAGATATTGAAGGCTGAGTAAGCTCAATTAAGTTATGAGAATCACTAAACGACGCAACCATTAAGAAATACATTAACTTCCATTTCTATCTTCAAATAAGAAGTCAAATTGCTTTGTCGTTTGACAGTGGAGAGCAAGGAGTGAGGGGATAATTGCGTCCACCACTAAGATACTGCTACAGCTTCATGACTTTTCTACTACGCTTTGTCAGCATAATACTCATAAGAAGCAGGTAAAACATCCCGATTGGCCATGATCATGTTCTACTAACAACGCTGAGATAATACAGATGAAATAATGAACAACTAAGTTTATAAAGTGGGAGAGTAAATGCAAACAAGATTGATCTATGAATTCCGTTTGTCTTTCATTTTCGTATTGGTATGTAAGAACTATCAATGAGACTTTTTCTCATGCATAAATTTGTTTTAGGCCTTCGTGAACATTGTTTATATTGGTAACCGTTGAGTCACTGCCCTCAAATATGACAGGATATTGGTATGTATTTTATTAAAATAGCGATTACGTTTGCGTTATTTTATCTTCGCAATGTTTCACTGGAATTATTTTGGGCGTTTCGACGTGGTTACCGCATAATTTTCAAATACCAGTTTTAATGTTTGATTAGAATAACTTATTGTGGATTTTCAATGTCTAGCTAATCACAGCCAACCATATGTAGAAATCCTCCAAGCCTTTAAGGAACTGCTTCATTGCTTTTCACAATGCATCATAAAGTCTGCATAGTTAACTGGATTGTTCAACTTGTTCTTTCTAGTTGAAATAGGATGAAACCATCATGTAAACTGGAATAGAGAACTACACTCTATTGAATGCTCCTCCAAGTGCTCAATTGTTATTTTGCTACATGGCAATCTCCAATCCAATTTAGAATATCAAGAATCTGCTTACTTTCTAAGTAAGTATTCGTATCTAGTTCTCAGTGGAATACTTGTAGCAAAAACAGCGTAACTGGAATAGGATACATGATAACCTGAATATTTGCTTATTCTTCACTAATAATGATGGCACTCTATTGAGATCAATACTCCCGTGAGTTCAAGAAAATTAGGAATTTAAGCCTTTCTTATTGGCAGTAGATTTTAAATTATACTTCAAGTCTTGAAAAACGTTTAAGAGTCATTCAAGTTGGATAAGTTGATAAGCAATGGATACAATTGCCACAAAGATGTAGGCCAAATGAAGTGACAAGGTTTCTGGTGAATTCTTTTAGAACTTTTCTGGACCTTGTTTAATTGCATTACAGTTTTGTTTAAACCATTCTAACAACTATGCACGAAGGTTTCCAAACTTTCGTTGTGAGAAATTAGTCTTCAAATATGAAAAGAGAAAAGACGACTCCTGTGAAGATAAAAGTTTTCTTTTCTTGGAAGTCATTTTTTCTAGCTGTACGTTCTTGAATTTATATTAGAAGGGATAGAACACTCCAGAGTAATTCACAATCAAAGGTCAAAGTGCATATATATGCACTTAGAATCAGGAAATAAACTAGTGAGAAAACAAAATATAATTACATCGTGACGGGACTACCATACCCATTAACGGTGTTCATGATAAAGAAAGAGGTTGTACATACTTCTTTTGAATGCACAATTATGGGTTACAATTTTAAATTACGAGCGCTTCAGTTATTCTTAGATGTTCTATACCTAAACGTTTCAGGTGACTTGGCTGCATCTTGTATAAAATTCTGAAGGAATTATCAAGTGTAGTCGGTTTACTAATCGCTCTGTTACATGCGTCTCCATTTTCCCTTCGTCAATCTGACTAGATGAGCTTCACTAGTATATTTCACAAGCTGATGTACTCAGCTCCAGAGAAGCAAATATTTTTCTTCATAATAAACCAAGATATATATATATATATATATGTCTATTTGGTCGATAATAAGAAACTTATCTTTAATATTTATACAAGTCTTACAGTATAAGAAGGCTTATCTCGACTAACGCATCCGTAAGATTTTCAAAGGGTGAGATAGATTCATTTTCTGTCTTACTGATTTTCGATCGTCATGAAATTCATGAATAAATTAATTTTTCCGCAACAAACCTAATATATCATATAACGAGCTGTTTTAGGTCCTTATTATCTCTAAAACACAGTACAATGCTTCAGAACTCATTTATCCTAATTGACAAAACACTATCGCAAATACTGTTTCTGTATCAAACGTCTACTGAAGTAAATCTCTTAATAGAATCAGGGCAAAGATCATTTCAGCTTCTCTATCCCCTTTAACTTATCTTCTCTTCATCAGTCATCAGCTTTGGTACCGGCTCCATCACCAGTTGAAAGAAAACTCTTTAGTTTACAGCATCTTATCTCTCAACCAATAAAATATCATTACTTGTTGATATCCTTGTACTTCTCCGTTGCAATACTGGATCGAATTGTTTAACATCTGTTGGCTCCGTTGGTCTCGATATTGTCTAAGTACTTTTTACGGTAATTTACTTGGCCATGACTAGCAGAGGAATCCCGGGGAGCCCATTTCGTCCTGTTTAGTACTCGTCAGCTGTATGCGATGCTGTTCTCACTGAGACCTGAAGCGGATGATATGAGGTTTGAGTCTCACTAGAAACAACATCACTACGGTGCAGGTACATCAGCTGACAAGTCCTTAATAGGGCGAAATGCACGTCCTGCATTCCTCGACTAACCACAATCAAGTAAATAAAATATCAGTTTGGCTGAAAAATATTGTAGTGATAGCAAAGATTGGTTTGAAATCATTCACTTTAATCCTTTTTGTCAGTTAACTGATGGTTTCATTAAAACAAACAAACCACCGTAAATGGAACTACTCTACAACAGTAAACGATGAAGGTGATTCTCTTTTTTCATTACCACTAATAAAACCTCCAGTGATATCTAATATTTCTAGCCTATTCCGATTACTCTTTTAGACTTGAGTAACTTGAAAAATTCACTTTTTATGAAAACCTATTGAAGTAATCTTTTAATTTCTCATTTATCATGTGACAAAAATAGATGTCTTTCGATTGAATAGTCAGCATTAACCTAGTAACGCATAATGAGCGAAGAAAAACAACTTCATCCATATGTGAACACTTAATGGTGTTAGATGATTCAGCTTCTCAAGATTCATCCATTATAGTAATTTACAAAGTTAAAGTGAGCTTCGAATGTCTGTGTTTCCACCACGTGTGCATAGCTGAATCACTAGCGAAAAATATGAACAACAACTAAAATTATGCGTTTAAAATCATTTTCTCTATCTTGGCCTTAACAATTCATTTTGGTTAGTGTGTCAATCTCATTTCATTTCACTTTTATTATTACTATTTTTCACTTAATTGACAATATTTCCCCCACTATTTCATTACTTAAAATCAATTTGTCCTTTATTCAGTGACCAACTTCTGTCTGCTGAAGTTTAATTATCATCATGTTTTACTTGTTTAACAGCATTTAGCTCTTATTTTACCACTTGTTTTCATTTTCTTCCTCATTTAGTGATCCATTTTCTTACATATGAACAAATCTCCTCATCAACATCAATTGCATCATATGTATAGTGACTGAGCAACTTTTCAGTCAACTTATCTGACATTTTATCCACTATAAATACAACTGTACAGCTTGATAATGAAGTCATTGAATAAAAAACTAGTAAGATTGGTATTATCTATCGAGTGTGTTGTATTTTTTTTATTTATGAGATAGAAGAAAGAAAATTGAAGATAGTCCTTTATGCAGCTATACCTCATCATTATGTCTACATATATTTTTCTCCAAGAGGTCGATACGGTCCAGTTTTCTTCACTGCACTTTTATGAACTTGACCCATTAAATATGGATTGTAACGATATATCTGAATTAAAAATGAAATAGAATCATAAACCGAAGGTGATTATTAGCACTTTACAAGTTAACTGTAAATGTTCTTGTAGAAATAAGAATAGTGGTCATCCCTCAAATTATAAAATTTTGAAAAGTTACCACCAGGAGCTGACATCAGTTGAAGAATCTTCGAAGTGCAGAGTACCTTGGACTGTTACTTCTTTATTCTATTCACTGTCGACTGGACACAGAACCAAGTTGAGAACCACTAATTCTCAAAGGAGATATACCACTGCAAATTTGCACTACATGATAATTCTATTCGGACCCCATTTTCTCGGTTACTTTTCATGTGGGTAACTATAAATAGTTCTGCTCGAAACAAGTGTGTTGGTCGTAACACTCAGTTGGTTCAGTGTTTGACCACAGATTTGCCTTGAATCATGTTACTGATCAGTCTTTCGTTCAACTTTATCTTTCTTACCCACTCGTTACTTTTGCATTCGGACTTCACTGGTGGATAGGAGAGGAGTTCAGACAACGTATTTTGTCCTAGTTGAGGTTCTTAAATTTGATGCGCCTGCCTCCCAGTGAGTGGCGTTGTTTGCACTAAAACTTGTACCCAAGACTAACCATCTCAAACACCAGAGCGTTATCCATTAGGCCATTGAGCTATGATAGACACTCCTCATGCAACTGGTATGGTTTTTATCGTGTTACTTGAGTCAGCCGAATTGATCTGTCTCTGCTGACACATGGGCCACTGAGCTGAGTCCTCGATATTGTTTGCGACTTCAGGTAGATTTCAAAATAGTTTGATAGGAAAATAAACGAACAGTGTTGTCCTTAGCTTTTGAATATATCTACCTCCTTGGCAGCATTTTTGTAATGACAACCAAATAGTCAACCTCGCCTGGTTAACTAGTTCACTAGTTACTAGCCGGTCCTAAGCCCGGGTATACAGGGAAAACAAATCTAACCGCTAAAGAAACTTCAAAGCACAAACAAAATATAAAAAATAAAAATAAAATTATTCCTCGCTGGAATTGGAGAGGCGAAATGACGCCAGTTGGTGAAAGCCTTCGGGAAGCCAATTGGCCGATATGTCTTCTCTCCTCTCGATGAAAGCGAAAGTAAACGTGGGGACATGGAATGTCCGTACGATGTTTGAACCCAGTAAGGCAGCCCAGATTGCAAAAGAGATGAGAAGGTATCACACTAAAGTGCTTGGAATTTGCGAAAGCAGATGGAATGGGAGTGGACTTTCCAAACTGTCAACTGGAGAATCAATAATCTACTCCGATATTGTCACCCAAACGACGATCACCAGCACACTGAGTCTGCAAGTGGCTATCATGATGTCCCCAACAGCATCGCAGGCCCTCATGCAGTGGGAACCAGTCTCCTCCTCCACACTCATGACAGCAAGATTCAACTCAAAACGAAGGAAGGAAGGTCACAATCATACAATGCTACACTACGCACCTACAAATAATGCAGATCAGAAGAAAAAGAAAGAATTCTACAGACGAATTCAATCAACACTGGACAAGACGTCAGTTGGCGATATCAAAATTCTAATGGGCGACATGAATGCCAAACTGGGAGGGGACAACAGAGGAAGAGAACTAACCATGGGTCGAGAGGCGCTAGGTGAAATGAATGAGAATGGAGAATTGTTTGCAGAATTCTGCGCATTCAACGATTTGGTGATTGGAGGCAGTGTGTTCAGGCACAAGCATATCCACAAAGCGACATGGATTCACCAGATGGACACACTAAAAATCAAATCGACTTTATCTCAATCTCAAGAAAATGGAGACGCAGTCTACTTAACACAAGGTCAAGAAGAGGAGCAGATGTAGGTTCAGACCACTACCTAGTGCAAGGAACCTTCCAAATCAAGTTAAAAGCCTTCAAGGAAGCTGGTGATAGACCTCAATTCAAGCACAACACTCGGAAACTGAAGGATGAAATTACAAAGGAGATCTTCAAGGCAGCCAGCCATCAAGACAAAATGGGAGACATCGAGCAACATCCCTGAAGAAACCTGTGTGGAAAAACACTGGAAGTCTTTGAAAGCTATATGGAAAGAAACCTGCACAACCGTATTAGGAAGGAAGAAGAAAGAAGATAAGCCATGGATCTGGATGGATAAATGGAAGCTGATAGAGTAGGAAGAGGAGGATGGTGAAGCAGAAGATAAACCAGTGCAAGGACGCTCAACGACAAGAGGAACTGAGTACAATGTATTAAACACTGGACAAAGAAGTGAAGAAGAGTGCATGGAAAGACAAAAGACACTTCTACGAAGCACTGGCAAGTGAAGCAGAACAGGCTGCTGCAGGTAAGAGAGACCTGACGACATTGTATCAAATAACCAGGTTGCTATCTAGGAGGAGATCAACGCAGACGAAACCAATAAAAGATGATGACGGAAATTTAATTACGAAAGAAGAGAAACAAAGGAAACAATGGGCCAACCACTTCAAGAAGCTCTTGAACCGACCACCACCACCACCTGCACTTCGTCCAGAAATACCACCTACAGCCGAGTCACAGAACTACAAGTGAACATAAATCCTCCAACAAAAATGGAGGTCCTGAACGCCATAAAGCTACTGAAATGTGGGAAAGCAGCAGGACCAGATGAAATTCAGCCAGAAGCACTGAGAACAGACGCAGAGACAACAGCGGACATGCTTACACCACACCACTATTGCAGAAGGTGTGGAAGGAAGAGAATGTACCTGGCCATTGATTGGAAGAAGGGTTACTTTGTCAAACTGCCGAAGAAAAGAGACCTCAGTGTTTGCAGGAACTGGCGTGGAATGACTGTCCTGTCCACCCCAAGCAAAATATTAAGCCGCATCATCCTGGAGAGGCTAAAAGATGCACTGGATTCAAAACTACAACCGGAACAGGCAGGCTTCAGGAAGTACATATCATGTGCAGACCAAATTGCAACGCTACACTACGCATCATCATAGAACAGAGTATAGAATGGCAGTCAACTCTACTACCTCAACCTTATAGACTTTGAGAAGGCCTGTGACAGAGTCAACGGAAAAGTAATTTGGAAACTGCTTCAATACTACGGAATACCACAAACCTTTTTCAGCCTCATTCAACAACTATATGAAGACGCCACATACCAGCCAAGTAATTCACAATGGGAAGCTCAGTGATGTTTTGAAGTGAAGACAGGAAGGAGTGAAACAAGGTTGCCTACTATCCCCCATGATATTCCTGATAGTGGTCGACTGGACTGGATCATGCAGCAAACAGTGGGGAGCGAGAAGAGGGGGATACGCTGGATGGCTGGACTGCGGAAAAGAACCTAGAAGAGTTGGATTTCGCCAGTGATGACTTGTGTCTGATGTCACACAAACTGGAAGATCTACAGGCAAAAACTAACAAGTTGTCAAAAGAGGTGAGGCAGCGAAGATGGCACTTCAAGTGAATATAGAGAAGACAAAGGTGATGAAGATACCACACCACCACCACCACCAACAGCAACAAACTCCAATCACCACCAACGGGAGAAACTTAAAGGAAGTAGTCTCCTTCACCTATCTAGGCATGCAGCACTGTTTCAACTACAGGCGGAACAGTCGAGGATATCAAAGTCAGAATCGGAAAAGCAAGGCAGGCGTTCATTAGCCTGAAACCAGTGTGGAGATCTTCTGCACTCAGCATGTGGAACAAGATACGGATTTTCAACACCAAGTCATTCAGGTCAATGCTTCTGCATGGTTCAGAGACTTGGCGCGTTACGAAAGGCATTTACAACAAGTTACAGATATTCATCAACAGCTGCCGCCTACACTCACTCGGTACTGAAGATCAGATGGTCAGAAAGAATAAGCAACAAGGAGCTTTGGGAACGAACCAACGAAGCAAGAACCTATTGCTCAACAAATATGCACTGGAAGGAAGTTGAGATGGATTGGGCATACACTGAGAAGGCCAACTGGGGACATCACGCTCCAGGCCAGGCTGTTGAGTGGAATCCCTACGGGAAGCGACGAGTTGGGCCTCCTAGGTGAGGGTGACATGTAGGAGATCGTGCGAGGAGGAAATGAGAGCTTGTGGGCAGTCGTGGAACCAGGTTCAAAGATATGAGAGAACAGAGTTCACTGGAGACGTGCTATTGAAGCCCTATGTTCCATTAGGAACCCAAGGGACTAATAATAATAACAACCAAATAGCCTCCTAACTGGAGACTTTACACATTTACTTACCACACAGCCTCAAAGTATTGTGAAATCAAGCGGGTTCATACAAATTATAGTTTGAAACAGTTTGTTTCTTTTATGAATTTCGATAGTGTAGTTGGAAGACAAAACTTATCTGAACAACGTGAGTGATGTATTGGCGTAATACATTTCGAATAATCTGATCACACATTTACTTGTCAAGTCAATATATATTAAACAGAGGACTGGGGGGAAAAATGCAATAATTAACACAATGGGGGATTAACATTTAGAAAGATGAGAATAAACAGGAAGTAACCTAGTTGGTCCTAATCTTGGTAAGAAAACGAAGTTTACCAAAGAAGGTGTAGTGTAAGAACAAATTGTTTTTGTACACATAAGGGTGGTTTCAATTTGTGTATTGCTATGGCTTCCACAAACCTCAGAATACGTCCCTGACTGTTTCTACATAAAACTTTGAAATCTGATTGAACACTAGTTTTGTGATCTGTTTTTATGATGTGTTTAGCTATAGATGAAGAGGGTCGTCTCCCACCAGCGTTTATCACTGTTTCACACTCCATTTGTTTTTGAAGCCATTTAGGTACATGTTCTCCCAATTTCAATTTCATGACTCGATCACTCCTTCCTAGGGAGGAGTAACTTTGAGTTTCTCAAGCAGAAACAATATAGATTAGTCATCTAATACTTCAATGATATTCCTCTCATTTGATTGCTGAACATTTGGAAGCATTCAACACCGTGTAAAATAATGGATTTTACACTTTCCTGTAACGAGGAGATTTCTGGTGTGAAACCTCATCTTTGTACAATAATAGTGAAAAGTATATGTCAAAATCATGGAGTTTCCTCAAAATTATGAGTACAAACAAGCGGAAAGACCACATCTAAAGCTCTAATGAATAGCTGAGTAAATCAAAGTAGAACTTCACACACAACTGCATCGGTTCAAATTGCCACACCTCATAGTAGTATGCAAAGAAAGACTGATGTCAAAGTAGACTAAGTTGTGTGGGAGAACATCTAAGCTTTCGACGTCAAATGAGTGAATATATTCGCACCATTCTGACCGATTATCAGCCATTTCACCAAGGGTTAGTCCTGAACCACCGATTCCTTCCGTCTCGTTGACACCAGTCAGGTGGTTTACATCTCACACGCCTTAGATCAACAGTAAGAGATTTCATCGACTGGTACTACATCTTTGTTTGGTCGCCCTGAACTCTCTTCCAAGCTAATCTAGCTTCTCTTATCACGATATGTCTAGGTAAGGGGTGGCTCAGTATGTTTCATACATAAGGAAACGTTCAGAAAAACCTTGTTTTGATTTTCTGAACACCATAGGATTTTATTAAAGCCTGCTTATATAGTGATCAAATTAAATTAAGGGCTTAAATTCTTCCAGGAACTTTATAACAGTTATGTGTTTGTAACGTATTTACAACTTAAATCATTCACTCTACAGTTTCGGTTGCTAGACTGCCTCATCTTTTCGCTGTGAATCACTGCTTTTCGTTGATTATCATTCATTACTAGATGTTCTTGGTCACGTTGTTCTGTCAGATACTCGTGGCCACTGCAAAATTTACGCTGTTCTGCTCACTTCCCTGCAACTACCTAACTAAAAGCTAGACGGAAACCTACCAGCAACTAATCGGTACATATGGACCTAATGTTTATAACTTTTGGTTTGAGTATGTGTTAAGAATAAACGCGAATGACTGGCAGTTTTCTCATCTCATTCTATGAAGAAAGGAACCTTCTAAAGAATCCTATGAAATTGATATCTTGTTAATATCTATTGTACAGTACATCAAAAAATAATTTATAATTGATCAACACTGATAGCAAATAGATATAAATGTATAACATACATGTGAACGTTTGACTCTCTTTTTGGCAACTAATCTTTTGCGTTTTTGACCTCTTAGATAAGGATTCACCCAAAAAGTCTACAAAATAAAGATTTAGGCAGATCAATATATCAGTATATGCAAGTAAAGTGGATATTTTTTTTATCTCTTCAACTGATTGTAACTTCTTCCCTATACATTGTCTAGGTGAGTGAATTTCAAAACTAACAGCCATCAATGTTGTGTGACTCACAGTAAAGAACAAAAAACCCTCTTAATGATGTTTCACAATAATCTGTTTAATGACTCCATAATTCTGAAGTGATATCATTTGAGAAGTCTTCAGTAGGCAAGTATTACTTAACAACCATATAATCTTAGTTTTCTAAATGACATATGGTAACAAAGTTATGACTTTAAATATTAATTGTCATGTACGGAATAAAAACATACTTCATAAAAAAATCTAGACATACAATCGATCAAGAAAGCTTCTTTCTATCAAGGTTTAAGATTCTGTGTTCAAACTAGGAGATACACAAGGTTGGGTGCTGTTATTCTGTTGTTTAAACCATGAGAAACATACGATACTCCAATTTTTCAAGGATTATTCTACTGTTACCAATTCCAGGTGGTGGCGGTTTAAAAAATTAGTAAGAACTCGCATTAAAGATGAACGTTTCTTTTATCTGGGTGCCTTATTATTTAGTACGAACGCAAAAATCTACGCAATAAGGTGACAGTTAGAGTTCCAGTGGATATAACACTCAGTATGGTGAAGGTAAATTCAGCTGATGAGTCTCAAATAGGATGAATTGTGCGTCTTGGATTCCAATGTTAGACACTAACTAGACTGCAATACAGTGAATATCCAAGCAGTATCGAGGTATCCACATAGGAGCTAGTTTGATAACAGAGGTCTAACAATAGGACCCAGTATAGCAGCGTGAAATTACAGGTATCAGTAGACAGGGTAATAGTTGATTTGAAACCAGGCATTTGAAATATCAGTTTTCACAATTGGCATCATAACATTTATCGTTTGAAATCATTTTTGTACAACATCTTTTTTGATATTACAGGTTTATCGTTCAACAAGGTTACAGAAGTTGATTGGAGTGGCTAGTATTGTTTAAAGAGAAAACACGAGTGATAATTTTAACAATACTAAACATAACAATGAGTTATCCATTTGTATACAACCTCTTGTTTCTCATTTCACTCATCGCTTTTCTTGTACACCGCATATGGTAATTTAGTAATGTATAGTTGTTTTATCAGATTCCTCATCAGTCGACTGCTGTTAGTTACAATGTTGTTATGAATATTACTGATACATATTCTTGTAAGTAGCTGTCAGCAGACAAATGGTTTTACTCTACATGATGTTTAAGATGTAAATTAAAATTAGCTCTAACGTGAGCTCCTCTAAGCAACAGACCTCGATCTGTAGTTATATTTACTCATTCGTGCATGAATCAGTGACAAAAACACCCGTTATATATATATATATATATATATATATATATATATATATATATATATATATATAAGATCAGTTTATTCTTTTAAATAAGTACCTACCTTTCCATTCATGTTTTGTTCTGTTGAAAAACTTGATTTGTGTTGATTATCACTAGACTCAACTGGACAGCTATCCATATGCTCAGTATCACATGAACATTCACCATTCTGCATTTTTCTTAATATCCAATGACGATTAAATTCAATGGTATCTTCAATGTCATGATCACACGGTGTCGATAAATCTTCTGACTTATAGTTTAGAGGACATGGATTTGGTGGATCACAGTAAGCAGGTAAATTATCAACTTTAGACTCCACATGCGAGGATTCAAGCTCACTTGATGGCTTAAAACTATCATATGATTCATTATTAAGAGCGTCTTGTGCTCCAGCACCTAACAGAGCATAATCTATCCATTGTCCTAATTCTCCAGAACCCCCAGAGACTTTATGTTCTCCCCATAACTGATTCTGATATGGTATTTCATTTCTACGTTCTGCTAATCCTGGTTCAGCTAACAATTTGTGAATATTATCTGTACTAGGGCTCAAATCATACGTGTTATCAAATTTCTCATCTAAATTTGGTTCACTGTTTTTTGAATTATCGGCTGAATATTCTTGAAATCTGCCTTCTTTGGCTTGATTAATTTCATTCAAAAATGCATTCCATTGTCTATCACTAATTTCATAATCTCCTGCGTAGTCTTCTTGAAAAATTGGATGTTGTAGTGAATAGAAACGTTCTAATGCTGGTTTCGAATCAGGATTCTGATGTAGGTAATCATCATACAATAGTTTCCCATCATTTATCAATCTGTCTATATACTCATCATAATTACTCCCAAGTGTTAGATCAGACAAGTTAATGAAAAATATTAGTGAAAATAGGCTTCCAAGCTAAAATTAAGAGAAAGAAGTAAAAAGGTGTTAACCAAAGAGTAAGCTACTAGATGGAAGACGGTTAGTTTACCTCTTTCATCTTCAAATGATGAAGTATAGAAGTGAGTTGAAGTTAAAATTAAGTTGCATGATCGTTTTAATTTTCTTCAATCGTGCTTAAAATTTACTGAATTTATGATAAGCCTATCGTTTGATCGATTACCATAATTTTATAGAAAGAAACTGGCTAAAACGATGGATAGAGTTGCTGTTTTGTTTTTTCCTGTAACAATCCCCTTCACTATTCTATTCTATAGTTGCTATTCCATCTCACACTAACCTCAGAATTCAAATAACCAATTGGAAGTGATAATAGAGTAGCTTTTAGCTCTGACCAGACTGAAAGAGAGTAGATTTAAGGGATAGAGATATCGAACGACCTTGTAGAAAACGTAGTAGGCAGACAAAAATATGATAAGTCGAAAAATCAATGAAATTAAATATTTTTTACAGTAAACTAAAAGAAAAATCTTTTTTTTTTATCTGACAGTGTTATTCAGTAGTACAGGTTATGAAATTTTAGACAATTTAGTGAATTCAGTAAGCTACTTTTATTTAAGTTTACCATTATCTTTTCAGCAATATTTGGATCAATAGCATAGCTGCCTCATTGGGAAACTGTATCGAACACTGAAGTCACATAGTACTACAAAAGGACTCAGAGCACATTATTTAACAGTTAGATCTTGAATAGATGATCAGATAACAATACTCCATTACGTAGAAAAAGGTGTTCTAATAAAGGCTACCACCAGGCCTTAGGCCTTAGCCCTAACTTCTTGAAGTCATTTGTTATCGTAAGTGTCCATTTTCATTAATCTTTGATAGACAACAATACTTACATTGTAGTAGGTAGCGTCAAATAAGGATGACTTACTGGTCCACTTAGTTCTCGTTTTAAGCTTGAACGCATTAGATTTTATGCAATTCTATGGAAAAACCTGATTATTACTCCAGAATTATCAATGCTTCAAAGCGAAAATATTTCTCTTAGAGGTTATATTTCATTGTTCTAGAGATGAGTTGAAAGAGTAAAAGTCCTTATCTACATAATGTTTCATCTATATGACAAACTAGTGTATGAATAGAACAAAATTTGAATCTGTAGTCAGCATTTTTGATTAACAATTCACCAATGAAAATAAGTAGTATCTTTAGGAATATGCAAAGATTAAAATATCTGAATTTCTTATTGTAAACAAACTTGAAATAGACAACAGACTAGTCTCAGTAAACAAAAGAAACTGCAGAATGTCTTTAAATCAAAGAGCATATATTTGACATATTAAGATTATTAAATGGGTCACAAAGATAACTAGTTTTTTTCGCAAAGACTTTTAATTCTATTCAGAAGACTTGATTTGTTCTTAGTCACTTGATAGGTGGAGTAATTTCAGAAGGTAGACTCTTAACTAATTTCACTTTGGTATTCGTTACAGACTGATATCAGTTGGAGAACCACTGAGAATCTTGAAGCACCGTATGATTGTTCCACCCTAGTATAGAACTTCTCAGCAGTGCGCATCTATGACCCAACCAGGAGTCGAACGCAGGACCTTCGGGTTCCCCGCCCAACACTTTCCATTAGGTCGCTGGATTGGTATGCAATGAATCATAATTCCTTACTTCTGTTAGTTCGTGATATACCACGACAACCAGTACCATCGATAAATCCTTTTCATCATATCCGACTTGGTTTACCTCGGCAGTCATTACTTGTAACTAGAACTTCTAGAATCATATCTAGAAGCAAGTCAGTAATGATCACTGGAGATGGATTCATTTTGGACATTTGTAGGAGGAGTTTACTGATTTTAAGTTGGCATTCATCCTGGATATGGTCTCTGAGGGGACCATGAGTGCACAATGCTAAGGAATCCTACACTAGGAAGAAAAAACTGTCCAGTTCTCCTAGGTTTCTGATGGTTCTCCAGCTGATTTCAGTCTGTGATGAATAGCAAAGCGAAATCTATAATTTCTCCACAAACCCCACAAACTTTAACTAGTCTACCCGAGAAATGTATGAAAAGTAAACAAAAGGTGGTGCTTTATAACTAGTAATGGACAACACATCCCATTCTTCTGCAAACGAATGACTTTTGACGTAGTCTTGTCCTTTTGCACTATAGCTCTGATGATAAGGCTGTTCATTCAGAAGGATGGAATGTGTTCAATTTATGACCACGACAAGATGACAAATGGGGAACTTGAAAGAGGTTTAATATTAGAAGCATTCTAAATAAAACTATCAAATTTCTTGAAATTTCACTGTCTAGATTGTGATGAGTTTCTATTTCAGATGAACAAAGTGAGCAGGACTATTTTGACAACTCATACTTCTTTAATCTACACCACTTCTTACATAAACTTCTTTATACTTCTAAATATGAGTGATGAACTTCTCCTAAAAGATATTTTAACAAAAACCAGGCAAAGCCGATAAATTACCCTGTAAAAGAAAAGCTGACGAAAGGTTGAAACGTATGAAAAATGTATCAAGTTATCACCAGCTGACATATCCGCAAACAATATCCAGTCACACCGGAGTCAAACAAAACATGAATAGATAAGTGATACAGTTTATAACTCCAGCACCTTACGACGTGGGTTACAATTACTGAGAGTTTGTGAGTTCATTCATGGTTCAACAGTTTTGAAACACAAACCTAGGACTTTACATAGATTGCTTGGTAATATCTGATTACACAAATGAAACCAAATATAATTAAGATATCTTTCTTACAGGACAAATTGAGACAATAATTTAGAATTAATTTCAGATATATCAAATATGGGTGGGCGAGTATCACAACCACTTTACTCATCTTCATAGTTCATCAGAAATGCACAAATGGTTATCAGACATTTTCTCGGCATGTTATTTCGATTGCATATCTATATTTTCCTCAAGGATAGGTTACGAAGAGAGTTGTAAAACATTGGCAATTTTTTAAAAGGTTATTAAAAGATCATATCCAGTCGATCATCAGTGTCACTGAGAACTATTAGGAAAGCAACTATACTTGTGTATATCCAGTCCCTAGCGAAAAATTAATTCGAATTTGCCGCAAAGTTGCCTGGATGAGAATTGGTATTATTTCTTTTAGCCACTAACTAATTCTCTTCGTTCTGTCAACTGCAGAATATTTAATTGGAATTATTGAGTTCTACCACTCTAAACTTAGCCGAGTTTTTAATTTCTGGTAACCTAAGTGAAACTGGTTGGCTGATTCGATATGCACATTTGACCTCACGGTTACTATATGAAGTTCAGTAGTACAAATTATTTAATTTAACAGATTAAATAGAATGCTTTATCCGACAAAGTTTGTCTCTAAGTTAGTTCGTTGGTTTAAGCACCCTTTTAATTCTGTCCTTATTGTTAACTCCTCCTATGAATTCTGCTATTTCTGTCTTATGTGATGAAACTACCGAGATTTAAAAACCCACGATGTCATTTAATGTCAACGTTTGAGCCTGTAGTTTCGTTAGTAGTAGTATCTTTTTTACCTCTTTTTCTTTTCCTGAGTAAATTTATAGTTGTTGAGTAATAATGCATATGTTTCATTTCTCAGCACAGATTTTAGAACCTAATACTTAGTCTTCGCGTCATGTTGATTAGGCGTCTGACCAAGCCTACCTGGACTGATATCGGAGAAGATGACCTAAAGTCTAGGTTAGAACTTTGACTGCTCATGAATAACAATATTTACTTTAGGTTGATAATTCAACGCTAAATTTCACCAGGTACATAATTAATTGGTTTCTATGAGCAAAAGTGATTATGGTTAGTGAAAGAAGTCATAAAACATGATCTACTTTTGTACAGTATGAAAGAAAAATATACTTGTTCCAACAAACTCGAAATATTTCTTGCACTACTAACAGTAAGTTGAATAAAAATGGAAAATTTTGCGTTAACCGATCTGAAGTTGTGTCCTATTGTATTTGAATAGGAAAATGTCAAAAGTTTCTAGGACCAGAAATTCAATGAAATCAACATCATCCATGTATCCTTTTTCCCGACTGATGTCCATACTCTCCTGAGTAATAGAAATTGTTGATCAACAGTGCTCATTAGTTAGGTCAGAATGATGTACACACAAGACAGCCATTTTGCGCGTCTAGAACCAAAATAAGGATGCACTGGATTCAAAACTAAGACCGGAACAGGCAGGCTTCAGGAAGTACATATCATGTGCAGACCAAATTGCAACACTTTGCATCATCATAGAACAGAGTATAGAATGGCAGTCAACTCTACACCTCAACCTTATAGACTTTGAGAAGGCCTTTGACAGCGTCGACCGAGAGGTAATTTGGAAACTGCTTCATTACTACGGAATACCACTAACCTTTTTCAGCCTCATTCAACAACTATATGAAGACGCCACATACCAGCCAAGTAATTCACAATGGGAAGCTCAGTGATGCTTTTGAAGTGAAGACAGAAGGAGTGAAACAAGGTTGCCTACTATCCCCATGATATTCCTGATAGTGGTCGACTGGACTGGATCATGCAGCAAACAGTGGGGAGCGAGAAGAGGGGGATACGCTGGATGGCTGGACTGCGGAAAAGAACCTAGAAGAGTTGGATTTCGCCAGTGATGACTTATGTCTGGTGTCATACAAACTGGAAGATCTACAGGCAAAAACTAACAAGTTGTCAAAAGAGGTGAGGCAGCGAAGACGCGACTTCAAGTGAATATAGAGAAGACAAAGGTGATGAAGATACCCAACCAACAACACCACCACCACCACCAACAGCAACAGCAACAAACTCCAATCACCACCAACGGGAGAAACTTAAAGAAAGTAGTCTCTTTCACCTATCTAGGCATGCAGCACTGTTTCAACTACAGGTGGCGGGACAGACGATGATGTCAAAACCAGTCAGAATCGGAAAAGCAAGACAAGCGTCTATCAGCCTGAAACCAGTGTGGAGATCTTCTGCACTCAGCTCAGCATGTGGAACAAGATGCGGATTTTCAACACCAAGTCAGTCAATTCAATGCTTCTGTATGGTTCAGAGACTTGGCGCGTTACGAAAAGCATTTACAACAAACTACAGATATCCACTAACAACTGCCGCCTACAATCACTCGGTGCTGAAGATCAGATGGAGAGAAAGAATAAGCAAGAAGGAACTCACTCTGGCTGGAAATGAACCAACGAAGCAGGAACCTATCGCTCAACAAATATGCAGTGGAAGGAAGTTGAGATGGATTGGGCAAACACTGAGAAGGCCAACTGGGGACATCACGTGTCAGGCCAGGCTGTTGAGTGGAATCCCTACGGGAAGCGACGAGTT